CTTGTTTAGCCTTGAGAAGAGGAGGCTGAGAGGAGACCTGATCCCTGCCTACAACTACCTGAAAGGAGGTTGTGGAGAAGTGGGTGTTGGTCTCTTCTCCCTAATGGCAGATGATCGGATGAGGGGGAATGGTCTCAAGCTGCGCCAGGGGAAGTTTAGATTGGACGTAAGGAAGAAGTTCTTCACCGAAAGGGTTATCACGCACTGGAACAGGCTGCCCAGGGAGGTGGTGGAGTCACCATCCCTGGATGTGTTTAAGAGACGGGTGGATGAGGTGCTGAGAGATATGGTTTAGTGGCGGACAGATACGGTTGGACTGGATGATCTCTAAGGTCTTTTCCAACCTAGTGATTCTATGATTCTATGATTCTATAACAGTGATCCCTGTAAATACCAAGTGAGGATCAAACCCTAGTGCTTTCCCTGTCTGAAAGCTGTGGTAAGGAAATTTCACATGGCTTGTGGCTTTGGACTGAATGGAAAACACTTGCTAGACAGAAGCAACTAAAATCTTTCTGGACTTGAAATGGATGGGGAAGGGCCAAATGGGCATGAGGACAGTGCTGTAAGAGGCAAATGGTGTTGTACAGACAGCTAAGCAGGCAGGAACAAAATGATCCAGACAAGCGACATCATCACTGAGACCAGATTTTGGCCAATTTTCCAGGGGACATAGAGCAAGTAGGGGTTGAAGTTGTCATTGATGAGAGAGCAGTAAAACATATTAAGATCTTTGGATGGAAAGTGATATATATACTTGCTTAGGGTATTATTTTATGTTTAGATAATTAATAAACATTACTGTACATTTTATTGTTAACTAGATTTTATTTTTGAGGGTTACACAACAATGTAAGCTGTTTGTCTGAAGACTGTATCCCACTTTCAGTATTCTACCCATCCTAAAACCACTCTTTGTACCTCTTTTTTGTTTCAAACCTCTGTTAATTATTTTTCCTTGTTTAAAGCTGGGTTTTGTTCCTTTGGAAGGATGATTTATTGTAAGTGGCTCTGAAAAGACATTAGGCGAGCAAATAGTCCTTTGGGAACAAAGAGTCACAACACAGCTGTTGAGACTATGACAGTGTCTAGTGTGCCAACACAGAGCAACAATACTCAAGACAGGGGAAAAAAAGGCCAGTAACTTCATCTGAGAGAAAAAAAAAAAAAAAGGCAGAACAAGGATATAAACATCTGAAAAACTGGCAGATGCAGCAAAGCTGTACAGAACACCAGAATAGAATGAAAAATTGCTTGTTGTGGGACGGGTTGAAAATGGAGGAGGTGGTCCTGTTATACCTTTGGGAATCAGAATAAATCAGTACAGTTTGAGAAAGCACAGTGACAATTAAACTGGGTACTATGGAGCATTAAATTTATTTTCAAGGTAAACAGTGGGACAACCAAATCATTCACTGATATAGGTCAGACCCCTTGAAGTCAATGGTGCTAGAGTGGATTACTAACCCCATGATTTGTGTTATGATTCAGACAGCGACAACATTGTTCATACATATTTTGGGTTATTTCGCAATATATAACATTACACCAATAAGGTATTTTAGTGCAAAACCTATTCTGGCTGATAATCAGGATAATCTATAGAAGCTCTCCTGTAAGTTGTAACCCATGGCTATAGCTCAGCTCACTATAAGAAAACTATGAAATGCATTTAAAAATGTCTGTTTTATTAGACTAAATGTTTGTAAGTCGCTTTTTGGCAACATCTGACAGGAGAGAACCTTAACTCCCACACCTTGGGATCATCCTGGGTATCAAGGGTGCTAATCTATTTAAATAAGGTAAAAACAGTAGGAAACTTTAATTATGGTAAGTAGCATAATTTTTGACACTAACAGCTTGGGGATCCTATATGGAAATCTGAAGGGCCAGACTTTGTTACATTAGTCTAAGCACATTTTCTTCTGGAGTAGACCACAGCTGAGCTTTAATGAATTGGCCTTATTTTGAAAGAAGCATCTTGCTGGAGATGGGAGTCAGAAAAGGAGCAGAGGAAGGGACAGGTCTACTCCCATAAAATCTCAGAAAATGGATGAACCCAGTGGCATTACCCTTAACTGCCGCAACTCCTTGGACCTGTTAGAGCAGGTCCAGGGGAGGGCCATGAAGATGATCAGAGGGTTGGAGCACCTCTCCTGTGATGAAAGGCTGAGAGGGTTGGTCTTGTTTAGCCTGGAGAAGAGAAGGCTCCGGGGAGACCTTATTGTGGTCTTTCAGTTCTTCAAAAGGGCTTATAAGAAAGTTGTAGAGAGATTTTTTACTACAGCCTGAAGAAACAGGTCAAGTGCTCATGGTTTTAAGCTGAAAGAGGGTAGGTTTAGATTGGATATAGAGAATAAATGCTTTATGATAAAGGTGTTGAAGCACCGGAACAGGGTGCCCAGAGAAGCTGTGGATGCCCCATCCCTGGAAGTGTTCAAGGCCAGGCTGGATGAGGCTTTGAGCAACCTGGTCTAGTGGAAGGTGTCTCTGCCCATGGCAGGGGGGTTGGAAGTAGATGGTCTTTAAAAGATCCCTTCCAACCCAAACCATTCTATGATTCTGTGATTCTGTAATTCTAAGTCACAGGACCTCCGAAGGTGTTCAAATTCATATAGTCAGCCCTCAGTCAGAGCTAGTGCAGGCCCCAAATAATCTCCTTGTTTCCACCCCTCTGCTGAGCACCCTTGAACACATCCAGCCTCCTTACTGTGCAACTTGTTAAAACAAGGAAAAGAACCAATCTTTACTCTGCGCTCTCCCACTTAAGCACAATGAGCTCCCCAAACTAGCTCATGGAGGCAATTGTAACTGAAAAAAATGATTTATGCAAGAAAATGTTAATGTCACCATTAATTTCAGATCTTAAGCACAAAATATTGGCCTGATTTTCCCATGGCCTACATGAGTGGAATTCAGTCGATATACCATCAGCGTTCTCCTAATTGTGTCTAATAAAGGCAAGAGGAAATCAAATAACTGTTACTTTATTTTTTATGTATGCTGCTCACCTTTAAAACAACTCATATGTCTTTAAGAATTGAATAATCTGCACCCATACACTACCCCCTCAAAACTTCAGGGCTTATTTTTCTGGAAACATTTGCACTCCATAGTGACTTGTCAAAGGCAGCCAGCCTTCTTTTCTCCAAGCTCTGCCTCTCCCCAAGTTTTCCCAGGCTGCTGAATCACCAGATACTCTGCCCTGCAGGTAGGTCTTCTCAATTCCAGCTCCACAGTGAATACAGAAAGAGGCTGCTTAACAAACTGTCTTTTGTACCATCCACAGAAAAGTCTAATGCACATGGCTCTTAAATGAAAAGCTTATCTCCCACCACTAATGTCCTCTAAGCAAATATGCAGAAACTCTCTGTATTCAAATTTTGGGATCTCATCCTGGAGCTGCAGCTGTGGCATCTAAAATGTATTTTTTTATCAATGACATGCAAGCTCACAGAACAGGGAACTCTGGCATCCCCTGTGCTGATTGGCTTCCAGGTCCTGCAATATAACTTTGAGCAGGCCCTGGATTAAGAAATGCTCTGGCTGCTGCCGTCCCCTTTGTTTGGTATGAGAATGCTGAACCCAGGGGATTAGCCAAGTGAAATGGTTGTTTTGCTATAAATAATTCATAACTTTCCAAACAGCTTTCTTCAAATGCAATAAACTATGTCTTTCACTCAGGGATTCCCTTTTAATTTTTAAACCAATTTATCTTTTTCAGAAGTTAGAAAGAGATCAGTTAAGTGGTGGGGTTTTTTTGTTTGCTTGTCTGTTTTTGTGATGGCTGAAAAATTGGATGGATCTTGAGCTTTCTTCACACACATTTTACATTGGAATAGACCTTGATCTTATTTCACACAAGTGTAACTACACAGAGTTCGATGACAGCCTCTTGCTAATTATGTCACTGAAATGTAAGAGATTCACTGTACCGTTTTGCTCATACATAACAGCTTAAGCAGCTTTTCTTCTAACACTTGTACAAACAAATTCTAGATAAAGTACAGGAATGAAAATGAAATTCAGAACTATGTATTCAGGAAAGATGCAAGATACTAAAAAAAACCCCAACTAGGGAAAAAATACGTGTCTTTTCAACTAAAACACCAATACTGTCAGGTTAAATTAATCAAACACTTTATTCGTGGGAAGTTTCCCACGAAGATGTGTTAAGTCTCAATGGAAAATGTTGTCAATGAGGTTTTTCCAAGTAGAAAATGCTCCTGATGTTGTTGGAGTTCTGGGGTTTTTTTAATCAGTTTTACAATCAGCTCAGGAGCTAATTCAAGGAAAGCTACAAGCTGATAGTATGGATGATAAAACCAAATCAAACAGTTTTTATACTTATTATGGTAAGTGTAAATCTACATACTTAGGAAGCTGAAATGTAGCTCCTTTTAAGGATGGAAAAAAATTGCTATTATTTTTGCTTTTGTCATCCTGGGCTTGAAGTTATGGGATGCTGGAACTCCCACGCTTCTATAAGACAATTTTGCAAAGTGTTCTAATAGTAAATTGATACAGCTTAGTATTAATCATCAATTAGTCAGATTGCCTTTCCGAAAGCTTGAAAATATACATTCAAGATGTCAGTGACTACCTTATCTTAAATGTATCCATTCTGAAATGATTTGTTTTGCTATTCTCTTACATATGAAGTGCGCAGAGGAATTTTATTGCTATATAAAGTTCAGAAATGCATTTGTGTAAGCTTTATATACATATTTAATCTTTCTTTTATATATTTGCTTTTTCTTTTAGTAAGTGATGGAATAAACAGCACTTTCCTTTGGGTGGATTATAGTACATGTGAACTGCCTGCTACTCTTCCTGCAAGAATAAGAAAAGCCCTTTGCTTTCATTTGTTCAGTATCAGCTTGATAGCAAAAAGCTTCTGAATGGCTCACGCTCACAGCAGACCAACAATTGCATGGGATCAGCACTTCTCCTACTAAAATATCTGAAGTCAAGGATTTGGAAAAGAGGTTTTTGCAGAGATGACCCATTTACAAGCTGGACTTAGTCCAGAGACTATAGAGAAAGCCCGCCTGGAACTGAATGAAAACCCAGACATTTTGCATCAGGATATCCAGCAAGTCAGGGACATGATCATCACGAGACCTGACATTGGGTTTTTACGTACAGATGATGCCTTCATCTTGAGATTTCTCCGAGCCAGAAAGTTTCACCAAACTGAGGCCTTCAGACTGCTGGCTCAGTACTTCCAGTACCGCCAATTAAACCTGGATATGTTCAAGAACTTCAAGGCTGATGATCCAGGAATCAAACGAGCTCTGACAGACGGGTTCCCCGGAGTACTGGAAAATCGCGACCACTGTGGCAGGAAGATTCTTCTGCTTTTTGCAGCCAACTGGGATCAGAGTAGGTAAATGTAGATAGCGTCCTTATCTTTTTACATACACTCACACTCAACTTGTAATGGAATATTTGTGACCATACTTGAAGTCACATGGCCATTTCCAGTAAAATATTTTGCAACCATGAGTCCATTTCACTAAACTTTCTTTTGATCTGATCACCTCTCATTCTTCAGACATAACACCCTTGAGATATAAGGGCTTATCAGTGTGTCAGACAAGTAGCCCAAGTTTTTTTCCATATATATTTCCAGTTTTTCGCCAGTGTCTGTTTGCTATAAATACATTAATGTTTATTATATAATTGCTTCAGCAATATCACAGACAGGTTGACAGAAAGCAAATGTCTCCAAACATATGGGGGTTCTTGTAGTTCTTCTGGTGCAGAAGGAATTGACCATATTTATTTTCTCTCCATATTTCTTAACAGATAATTTGTTTTTGTTGTTTTAACTAATTTAAGAATTACAGTTTATGTTCTTAGATTTCCACAAACTGCATTGTAATTTCTACACACTCTCGTTAGTGTATTCTTGTTAGTCTTATAAACAGGAGAGTCACAAAGATCTTATTTTTCTGTTCAGGCCATTTCTTTACAGAATAGTATGAACAAAGATATCTCCTAGCCATTATGATAAAATGATGCCCCTAAATGTTAACATGATTAGTCAGCTTTCACTACCTATTTGAAGTGATAGAGAGAAAAAGGGCTAGTCCAAGAATATCATGTTTATATTGTCCTGTTTGTCAGAAGTCATTCCATTCCATTTTCCCTGCCTTCACAGTGAGATGGAGAAATGTAATCATCTATAGGACTGCCATGTGTTCTGCTGATTTTTGATAAAAACCAGATCAACAAGCAAAATTCATATTCAGATTTTGAGTATCATAAATTGTGATGTTTTCCAGATAGGACTTTTGTCTTGGCATGGGCTAAAGTTGTCTGTGGAAGTGTCTCATCCTTAGGAGTCCATAGATTGGAGTTTTGAATTCAGATTATAGAAATTATTAGAGAACAATACACCTATGCCTGCAATATTTTATGTTAGTTGTACTCTGGTAAAACCTTTCATCTCCAGAGATCAGAAGTATTTCTAATTTTCCTTTGCATCTGAAAATAAACATACAAAGTTACAGAAGTGTAACTTTGCATATATGTAAGTATTCAGTGAAATCCAGAACTGAAGCCAGTGATAAAAGTCCTATTGACTACAAAAGGGCCTCTAGTTTATCTCCTGCCTTTCTGAGCAATGAACTTGCCTTTCTTCCAACCACGAAACTCTTCCTTTAGCAACTGGACTGGAAAGAAAGATGAATGAACAGGTATCTTAAATTAATAGAAAGTATCAGCTTTAGAGGAGAGAAGCACTGTGTCTCTGCTGGTTGCATTAAGGGATTTAGGTATTATACAGAGCCAGCTTTGGGTTTCTGATCCCTCAACAAAATGAATCCTTGCGATTAACCTCCTACATCAGGTCCTGCTCTTGGAAAGCTGAGAGTACTGCTGTCTAAGTCTTCTGCACTGAGATTTTGCTAGAATGTTGATTTCTGTCAGATTTTGGCTCACATTTTCTGCAAGTCCTTTAATATGCATCCATGTATATGTGTGTCTGTGTGCAAAAACCAAAGTGAGCTGCATGACAAATACCGTGTTTCCGAAATTGTAATTTTAACTTTCAAGAAGAAGGGCTGAGGCAAATAGGATAGTATATATTTTCCTAAAGTTCCTCAGTGAAATTAAAAATCACATCAAATTCTACCTCTCTTCAGCCACTGATGTTCAACTCCTCTATGGAAGCAAATGACAGTGACAGTTTTGTGAGCTTTTGCAGCACTGCAAGTGCTACAAGGATTTGGGACAGGATTTGGGCTGTATGTAAATAGAGGGATGACCTCCTCCTTTTTTACTACCTAAAGGCATCAACAAAAGCAAAAGTTGTTAAGGAAATGATGTGCAATGTCCTATTAAGCAGCAGGGAAGCAGGTTATCGATCAGAAAAAGTACATATTCATACATATTTCACAAAATCCCTCAAACAAACAGGCATTGTGTATATCTTACATATGTGTATCTTAGACAACCTACCTATAGGTGTGTCTTCAGTGATGGCAAGATGTTTACAAACTTACATTTCAACTGAATGCTAATTCAATCTATTCATATGACTGTGGCACTGACATGCAAAAGTACGAGCTCAGCTTTCAGCATGCTTTTCCTAACTTTAATCTCATTTGCAGCTGCTTGTGTCTTCTCTTGCATTATGTTTAAATTGTAATTTATAAGGGATGATTGATAGAGAAATCACAATTTATGAAGTGTCATTTAAAACCAGCACAGATATAATCCATAACCTGATTTCCAGCCCAGACATTTTTACCATTTATACTGCTGGCAGTATGGTGGCTGTAGAGATCACACATCAAGGAGGAAGAAGAAGCCTCCAAAATTTTTGGTTCAATACATTGGTATTTTAAAGGAAATATCATTATTTGTGTAATGTGACTGCTTTTAAGGGGTTCCCTGTATCAAAGATAAAATTTCTATGTGAGCTTTTAGAAACATTTGTAATTTCATCTTCAAGAATGTAATCGATAGATCTAATAGCTCTGGAAAACTAGGTTTTAATTTCCAGTCTCAGGGTTTCCAGCTTCAGTTTTCAGCTGCTGTATTGTGTTAAAAAGAATTCCGAAAATATGACAGCTTCCCATGTCCGTACTTTTGTGTCCTCACCACCTCATCTTTTAACCTACTTCTGAATACACAGAAGATGTAGCAGCATAGGGTAAGTTATTGTCAGGCAACAAGGAGACAATGCCTTAGCTACTCTGCAGGAGTGGTTCTTGTGTTCCTTTTTAACCATGGTGAAGGTAAAACAGCTAACCTCCTTTTCCTTGAGGGCAAAACAACCTTGTGTTTTCCACATGGTAAAGAACATACCTGTGGGCAGCCAGCAATGCAAAGATAATGTTTTACAAAGTACTGCACTAGCTTAATGTCTTGCAGCATATTTTTGCTGCCAAAGCTTAAATAGATTGAAATTCTTTACTCTCAGAATTAGCATGATTTTCCAGGCCACTAATACTCTTCATCATTCTTTTCTGGACCTTTTCTATCACTTTAGTGCTGTTGCTAATGTGCAGACAAATGAACTGAATACAAACTTTCACTAATAAACCATCATGTGGTAACACCGTTTCACAGTCTTCTGTTCAGTATTTCCCTCTTTCAGATATAAGATTGTCACTGTTTTCTTAGCTACTCTATCACATTTTGAGCTCATGTTCATCTCAAATCTGCTTGAAAGTCACTGTTTCCTAAAATACCAACACCACTGGTAAATGTGTCATGCATTCTCATCCATAATGTGGGCACAGTCTAGCATGTGATTCACGCTCTTCTGCAGAGCTAAACCTGTCCTCCTCATCAATTATCATTGCACGGTTTTTATGACATCTTCAAAGTTCACTTGCAATAATTTTATTTTTCTTCTACATTGTTAAAAAAGATGGTAATTATTGTTCTGAACAAAAACTCCTTAGTGACTAGGGAAAAAACCAACAAGAAATGATAATTCTTATCTCCAAATCACTAGCTGAGGTCTGTCTTGGTGCCAGGTTTTCACTCATTTAGCATGTGATACACTGGTTTGCTTTTGCTCTATTTTTTACACAGGTTTCTTAGAGTTGATGTCATCACTTTCTCTCTAAGTCCTGTAGAGTATATTTTTGATCTGTTAGTTAATGTTAATCTCATATTATACAGAACAGAAAACTTCAGAGGTATTGAATAAGTGAAAATGAGCAGATGGTTAGAAAAGAAGGAGATCAGATTAGTTCCACGCTGAGGGAGAGGAAAAACCTTGAGCTATATTATTGTACACTAGAGCATCCACACAGGGATGACCATCGTTCACTTTGGTCAGAGCTCAGAGGTGCAGAATAATCCAAGTACAAAGTGTGAACTCGCCCCAAACCCACAAAGCTTCACATATACCACTGATTACACAGCACTTTCTTTTTAAATGAAATCGTTGAGTAATAAAGACAGGTAAGGATGTCAAACTGATCTTGTCAGGGATTTTTTCAATGGAATAATTTGCATCATAAAAAAATCCTAGTTTGTAAAACAAATATGTGTGTACATACAAATATACAATTCTGATGAGAGCTTAGCCAGATTTCACATGAACACAAATGTGCCATGTGCTGGATTGCAAATACTCTTTCTTAGTCTTTCTCATGTCATCAGCCTCACCAAAAGCCCTCACTCCTCTGATGCACCTCTAGTGAAATTCAAGTGTTTAAAGGGGTCAGGTAAGAGTGCCTTTTTTTGGCTGTTGGATTGAGTAAAGCCTTCACTAACTACTGCAGCTGTTCCTAGGTCTGCTATTGCCTTCTGGTATATCCTGCTCATATACCCGGGAGATGGGGAGTTTGGGTGACCAAGTAATTCAGCAGAAGGTGTTCATTAATCTTCCAAGTAAAGATATTTCCTTCGAGGTTGTTTAATCAGAGTAAGATTTATTTCTGTGTAGAGAGCCAGAACAGGGGTTATCTCCAGCTATGACACATGGTCTGCATACTCATCCTCTGCAAACAGAGTCTTGAGGTATGGGGGAAGAAGGTTGCCCATTGTCTTTTGCAGCAAAATAGTAATTAATTTCTGTCTTTGTGTTTGGACTGTTGTGTCTTAGAAGCTGTCAAATAGCTCCAAAAATTCTGTAAATCAGATGGAAAAAAACTGCTGCTTTGTTTACAACATACATTTCCAAGTCAGCTGCTAGCCATAAATTCTCTTTTATTAACCAAGGAATGTCAGATGCCAGACACTTACCATTTTGTAGGAAAGTGTATTGAGATAGGCTAAAGGGCAGGAAAATACTCTGACATAATGGTAAACCGACAGTTATAAATATTTTAAGGGATCACAACAGAAAGAAAAAATGTCCTTGCTAAGAATGCTCATAGTGGTGTAATTGCAAGGATATTATCATCAGCAGATCCTGTT